TCCTCATTGGAAAACCTGCTGAGGGGGAAGTCAAGGAAGCTCTTTTCTCCTTTAAGCCTCTAAAGGCACCAAGTCCGGATGGGTTACACCCCTTCTTCTACCAAAAATTCTGGGGAGAAACAAATCACCTTCTAGTCAACTTCTGCAAAGAGTCCTTTAAAAGCAAAAAAATGACTGAAAACATGAATAGCACCTTCATATGCCTAATCCCAAAGAATCAAAATGCTGAGTCTTTAAAGCAATATAGGCCCATCAGCCTCTGCAACACTGCCTATAAGGTTGTCACAAAAATTATAGTAAATAGAATCAAACCCTTCCTCAACAAAATCATTCATCCAACCCAAACCAGCTTCATAAAAGGGAGAAGGGCCTCAGACAGTGCCACAATAGTTCATGAAGTTCAAAATTTCTTTAATATCTCCAAGGGGAAAAAAGGGAAAATCATGGTGAAAGTCGACTTAGAAAAAGCATTCGACAAGCTAGAATGGTCTTTCATCAGGTTCTCCAAATCCCTAAATTTCCCAAACGACCTAATCGAGCTAATAATATCCCGTGTTTCCTCCACCTCCACCTCCGTACTCATTAACGGATCAAAAACTGACTTCTTCAACCTACTAGAGGCATTAGGCAAGGGGATCCCCCTGTCCCCCTATTTATTCATAATATGCATGGAAATACTATCTAGACTCATCAACCACGAAGTAGACTGTTGTAGATGGGACCCCATAGTCCTGTCAGAAAAGGGCCCCCAACTATCCCACCTATTCTTTGCTGCTGATCTTATCCTTATGATGGAAGCTAATCAGAAAAGTTGTGACTCACTCATAGATACACTCAACAAATTCTGCACCTTCTCTGGCCAATCCATAGATTTCAGCAAATCCAGGGAAATATTCTCAAAAAATACCCCTCCTGACAAACAATCTTTTTTCAGCAGGTGCCTTAACATAAAAATCTCAGATTCAGTGGGAAAATACCTGGGATAGCCCATGACAAACCAGAGATTGTCTAAAAAAGACTTCCAATTCATCATTGATAGACTCAATAGCAGACTAAAAGGCTGGAAAACTCACTTCCTGAACCTAGCAGGAAGAACCACCCTCATTAAAGCAACTCTTGCAGCCATTCCTAATCATACCATGCAAATATTCAACCTCCCAAAAGCTTCCCTAAACAAGATTGACTCCATACAACGAAATTTCTTATGGGGAAGTACGGAGGAAAAAAGAAAATGCCACCTCCTAAATTGGAACAAAGTCACCAAACCAAAAAGTAAGGGAGGCTTAGGGCTATATAAAGCCCAATGCAAAAATGATGCATTCAGTACTAACTTGGCATGGAGATACTCTAGCAACAAGGAGGCCTTATGGGTCCAAGTGCTGCATAGTAAATATGAAAGAAGAACCAATTCAAATAACAGATTCAACCCCATACCATCGGCATCCCACATTTGGAAAAACATCTGCAAAGGAAATAAGGCCTGTGAAAAAGGCACCAATTGGCTCATAGGAAATGGAGAGAATATCAAACTCTGGGACAACCGATGGATTATTCACGGAGACACACTAAGAAACCTTATCCAGGGCCTCTCCAAAAAGAAGAAGTGGACTTGAATGTGAAATCCATTATACAAGACGGCTATTTTAACCTCTCAAAACTATCTTACGAACTACCGGAAGACATAATTCAAAAAATTCACAGCACCTATATCCAACAATCCCAAACAGGCAGGGACAAAATTACATGGAACTCCCCGGGGTACAGCTCCTTCTCCATCAAGGCTGCCTATGATGTACTCTCTAACCAAGACAACACTGTAGTAGACAACAACTTAGACTTTAGTTGGATCTGGAAAAGCAATACCCTGAACAAACTAAAATACTTCATGTGGCTGCTCGTCCTTAACAGACTCCCAACAGCCACCCTCCTGGCAAAACGAAATATCTGCCCTTCTGACACATGCGCCATATGTGGAGTGGAAAAAGAGGATATTAAACACTTGTTCTTCAAATGTACCTACTCAAAGGCAATATGGGGGCAATGCCATATAAAGCATAACTATCCTCAATCGGACAACGAGTTCACTACCTTCAACTGGCTAAAACACCAGCTAAAATCTAATAAATGCTTTAATCACTACATCAGCTGGCCAGTTTTCCTACCCTTCCTCCTCTGGTATTTATGGACCACCAAAAATGAAAAAATCTTTCGAAAGAATAACTCATATCCCAATATTATCCAAGTAACCAACAGTGCCCAGGAATTCCTCTTCCTAAGCAAATGGAGCCCTTCAAATATACCAAAAAAGACTATCCATATAAAATCAGAACCCCCCACCACAGGGATATATAAATTAAACATAGATGGTTCCTGCCTAGGAAACACAGGAAGGGGAGGAATAGGAGGAATTTGCAGGGATAGTAATGGCAATTGGATATTAGGATTCAATATGGGCTTTGCCCATGCTACAAATATCCAAATGGAAGCCATGTCTTTACTGCAGGGGCTAAAACTAGCCATCCAAAAGAGACTAACCCCTTTAGTCATTGAAACGGATTGTCAGGAACTAATCAACTTGATAAATAATGATAATTGTCATTATCAAAATATTATTAATGACTGCAGGTTCCTATTATCTGAGGCGGGTACGCCAACCTTGAAGCATGCATTCAGAGAAGCTAATAGAGTAGCGGACACCTTAGCCAAGAACGGATTCAGCCTGGACTCTTTTGCTAATATAATGTTGTACTATTATCTGCCTGTTTTTGCTATTTCTGTTTTTGATAGAGATGGGATAGGCACCTTGTGACCTAGACAAATCTCATGTTGTAAAATGTCTCTATTTACCAAAAAAAAAAAAAAGAACTTGATGGACTTTAATCCTAAATTATTTTAGATTTTTGACCTTAAAAAAATACCGTAAGTAATAAATCGAATCATTTATTTGGTTTTTTTCCTTTTTGTCCCATTATTGAATACTCATCACTATTAATTTTGTCATTATAAATTTTGCCGAAAGGATAGCTGTAAAATTTACGATACATTTTTGTAATTTCTCGTCTATTCTTATATAATTAGACTTTTACTATGGTATTGTTAATTATATTGAAACTCTATCATTTTTGCATGTTTGTAATGTTTCTCAACATTATTAATTTTTTTCCGACTTCAATGCTATTAATAACTACAGAAATTTATGTATACATTAATTATACATAATTATGAACATATTATACATTCGCCAATCGCCAACTATTTTTTGTTTAACCGATTCAATGAATGGCTATTTGGTTTAATTCTCCAAAAATGAAGTCCTAATGAATTTCTTTTGCAAGAGAGAGTCTTATCTTTAACTTGCTCAAGGCATCTTCAGTCAGATTATGAGTTATTAATCAGTAACATAGTATGTTACAATTTTGAGATGAATGATATGATATATCCGAACTAGTAGAATCTGTAAATTAAAACTTTCTTTATCTTCCAAAAGCTAATAAAACAAATTATGTGTTGATGAAGAACCATTGATTTGTCAGTCTGGCAAAATTTATGAACGGATTTAACAAAGACAAATAAAGGCAAAACTTGTAAACAATTGAACACAAGCAAATTTTGTCATTCTAGCAAAACTTGTATCACTTTTAACAAAACAGGTCAAATAAAGATATATCAAGTCTTATATCGAAAAAACTTTGAACAATTGGACAAGAGTTATGCCCTATTGTTTAAAGCATAACCAGTGTTTGCTGTATTCTAAAATTAAATCTTTTCAATACAAAGTTCAAAACACTGTCCTAATGTTCAAATTAAGCTCCCACAATACAGTTTTTTACAGCTTGTTTGGATAGTTGTTATCTATTGTATTGTATAATACTGTTAATTTAATTAAATACAATATTTATCTTGATTATTAGTGTATCATATCGTTAAATCCATTTGTTACATAACGACAAAAATTACCACCTTATGGAATGACAGTGTTGATGTGGTAACATCTGTTGTAACATCGTAACCCTGCTTTTTTCTCTCACCTTGCCTTTTCTTATTGTTAAATAATCATATTTCATTCTTTACCTTATTTTTATATATGATACTTCTACCTTATTTTTATATATGATACTTCAACTGTACATCCTATTTTTCTTAGTAATAGTTTATTCTTCATATTGTTGGTGTGTGACATCATGAAACGACAACAAATAATACAATCTATTTAAACGTTATATTAATCAAACAATACAATACAATATAATACAATACGAAACATGTAATAACAATCCAAACAAGCTGTTAGTCCAAACTAGTACTACAAGATAATATATCATGATTCATATTCTTCAATTCAAACTCCAAGACACTAAAACTTAAAAAAACAAAAATGCAACGATGGAAGTTCTGAAAATGGTTTGGCGGTGAGTGGTGATTGAAACTTTAGTCCTGACTCAATTTTAATTTTTTCAGACCCTACATCCACATTTAAAGAGCAAAGGTATAGTAAAACTCAATTTTTCAGCATATTAAGAAATCAGAAAAAAAAATCTCATTTTGAAAACTCAAATAAACTTGTAGCTTCAGAAGAATCCAATATGATCGTTTGTAATGTAGTTTCACCAAGAGGTTCCCCCTGCAAAAGCAGGGACTTGGATCCACTACACCTCTTATTAAATAGATTATATCATCATGGGCAACTGGACAATAAGCCTAGAAACAACGATAGAGTTATTTCCGTATGACCTAATTGCTAAACACGTATGCTTGCATTAGGGTAGATTATCTATATCACAATCTAAGGGGTGCGACCATTGCTAGGACCCTGTATAAACAGGGGAAACTTCATGCATCCAGTAAATAAAAGCAAATACTTTTATAAGATATAATGCTAGTATATAAATTCACTCACTTATTAAAAGTACTGTTTTATAAGGAAAAATGAGGAAGATTAAAGAGACCTCAGAAATTGAGGTAAATATAAAATCAAAGGAGCTGTTAAACTCATCATATGGTACGGACAATTACCACCCATCATTGGCATCTTAATAACCAAAAAATCAATCATTCCTTACTAAATAAACAACACTTCATTAATAACACACTAAAAACATTTTTTTCAACCTTTAATACTCAAAAGGTTAATAAAATTGTTACATTTATCCAAATTCAACCACTTGTCTAGTTAATCGAAGACTAAGCGTAAACGTAATTTTCTTAATGAAATTGAGGCTCAGAGAAATAAACAGCTCTATCAATCACGGAATTTCAGAAGCAGAACTGGCATTAAAGCTGTATTTATATATCATCACTGCCAAAAAAATAAGCTAATTATAGGCCCATATTAAGAAATCCAACCATCATTTTATCGTATGCTTCATAGATTGCTCTCAGAAGCACAGATAAATTTTTAAATCATAGCCAACATTAAAAAAATTCCAAATTAGAAAAACAAATATACCCTCGGCTCAAGAAAGCATAAGCACCACATACTTCTACATTAGAGTTATGAATCAGACTAATTTTCAGCATATCAACAATTTTGCCACCTTCTGGAGTATTTTCTGAAAATACCGAAGTACTAATCTGGAAATGGCGTATTGAGCAAGCTTCTAGACGGTATGGTTCTGGTTGAAACCACAAGTGCAATTGATCTTTGATAATTGATGTGGGGAACAGCGACATAGAGCACTAGAACTCAATAGTGCTGTGATTGGTTATAAGAGGTGACACCAATAATCAACAAAAGTACAAGAGAAATAGGTACCAGAAGCAATCTTAATCCTTCAAAATACTCCAGCATCGGCTAGGATAAACTATGTCCAATACAATTTAGAACCATTTTCACTACTTGCTGTAAAAGGTGTGATCATATTTTGTTAATCATCAAATAGTGAATATGGTCCTAAACTGTAACGGATAAACTTGATCATCTTTGATCTAACTTCAATAATATTGCACATTTGATAGTCAACAACCGCAACTCCCAATAATAAACCATCACAATTTCATCAACTCTAACAAATAAAAGAAAATTAGATAAACTAAAAAGGCAAAAAATGTAGTGCTTTTATTTGACTCCAAACATGTTTGGTACAAGTGAAGAAGCTGATGACAGCACTTAACTATATGAGTTTTTCAGACCCTACATCCACATTTAAAGAGCAAGGGTATAGTGAAACTCATCTTTTCAGCATATTAAGAAGTTAGGAAAAAAAATCTATTTTGAAAATCTCAAATAAACTTATAGCTTCAGAAGAATCCAATATGATCATTTGTTGTAGTTTCACCAGGAGGTTCCCCCTGCAAAGCAGGGACTTGGATCCACTACACCTCATATGAAATAGATCATATCATCATCAGCAACTAGGCAATAAGCCTTGGAGCAACAGTAAGATTATCTACATGTGACCTAGTTGTCACGGGTTAAATTAATGTTTGCATTAAGGTAGGCTGTTTAAGTCACACCGTTCAAGGTGCAGCCCTTGTTAAACCCCAAGTACACACAAGATACTTTGTGTGTCAAGCTACCAGCAACTAGGCTATAAAAACCAAAACTTTTACTAGATATAATGCTATTATATAACTTTAGTCACTTAAATGTTTAATAAGGAAAATGAGGGAGATTAAAGAGGCCTCAGAAATTAAGGTAAATATAAAATCAAAGGAGTTGTTTAACTCCTCATATGGTACGGACAATTACCATACATCACTGGCCTCTTCTTAACAAGAAAATTCATCATTCCTCAATAAATAAACAACATTACTTTATTTATCACACAAACATTTTTCTCAATACTCAAAATATTCATGAAATTGTTAACTTTATCCAAATTCTACTACTTGAACAATTAAGCTAAGTCAACTACTTATACATAGCTAAACATAACAATACATAAAACATTTTACACAAATAATTATTCTTAAAACACATAAATGATACAAAATTAAGTACAAAACATAATTTTTTTAATGAAATTGAGGCTCAGAGAAATAAACAGCTCTATCAATCACGGATTTTCAGAAGCAGAACTGGCATTAAAGCTGTATTTACATATCATCACTGCCGAAATAAACTAAGCTGAATAAACAAATGTGAAAAAATAAGAAATTTTAGGCTCATATTAAGAAATTCAACCATTATTTTATCGTATACTTCATAGATTGCTCTCAGAAGCGCGGATAAATTTTTAAATCATAGCCAACATTTAAAAAAATGCCAAATTAGAAAAACAAATACTTACAATATAGCAGTGGACTTAGGAGTAAAACAGTAAGAAAAATGCAAATAAACCCCACGTTGACACTGCTATTTTAATTTCAGCCTCGTTGACTAGCTTTGTTTTTTCATTGAGTAAGAAGAAAATAAGCTAAAGGTGATATGAGGCATTTTTTTTGTTTAAATTAAATAAAGAAATCAACGTAAAAATATTGTGTAAAAAGGATTAAAATGTAGCCGTTGATTTTGACACAGATAAAGCCAAAGGTAAAGAAGGTACAAAAGGGCTAAACTGCAACACTAGCGGCGGTAGATATAGCACGAGCTTTGGGGCTTCTAACTTCATGTAAAAATTGATCAGACGAGCCCGGGAGGCTACGTGCAGACATACAATTTGCGTAGCTGAAATGAAAAAAGAAAAAAATGCACAGATAAAAGTAAATGACCTTGGATCGATGATTTGAAGATTGAATAGGTTTGTGTGAGGAATTTGTAATATGTGCATTGTTTGGTTGAGCATCCGAGGGGCTCGGGTGTTAGTCGGGCGATTATTTCAGACGCCATTGGAGGAAAGAGGAGAAGAGCTAGGGTTTTATAGGAAGGAGGCTATATAAGAACGGATTCTGAAGAAGCAGAGTTGTGGCTTTATATAGGAGAGGGATGGGGGTCAGTGAAACCCTAATTGTGCCGTTCTGGATCTGGGAAGCTAATGGGCTGTTTGTTTCCTTTTTTTCAAAATTAAAAGGGATAATACATAATTGAATTTTTTCATTCCTATAACCTATTAAAAACTTTATTAACATAAATGTTTATATTTAGTTAATTATCTAGCATAAATAAGTTTCGTTTACAAAATATATACAATACACCTTAAAAGGCTCCCAAATTCATTATTTGTGCTTTCAATCAAGGGATTTGGTTATACACTTTTCTTTTTTTCTCTCTTCTCTCCCCTCTTTTCTTTTCTTCGGATGCAATTGAATGTGCACCACGTTGTTTAATAATTAATACTGACCAATTTCATCTCATTTGGGACTTAATTTATGCATTAAGTTTGGGACTTAATTTATGCATTAAGTTTGGACTGACGTTTTAAGTCAAATCCATAACTTTCCATGGTTGTCAAATACTGACCAATTTATTGGTTCAAGAAAGATGGAAAAATATAGGTCAGGAAAAATATATATCTTTTCTTGAAAATTCCCATGAGCCGTGACTTGGGTTTTTAGCAAGAAACACTTGAGTTTCATTTTTATGTGTTATTCTTCTTCTGGGGCTTTTGCATTTCAAAGTTCCATATTGTTGTGGTGCAGAAAATGAAAATAATGGTAAGTTTTACATATTGAAAGGTGATTTTTCTTCTTCTACAAAGAGAGGTGTTAAATCTCATAAACGTAGCTTCTTCTCAAGAGGAAATAATATTCCAAATATGGATGAGATTTATATAACTTATCTACATTATTTTTACCCAGTTATATACATCTACAATATCATACCACTCAAATACAATTTTTATACAAATTTTATACAATATATCTTTTGTATATTTTGTATCTGATTTATACATAGTAAAAACAAATTTCATACAACTAATTATATATTATACAACTTATCTACAACTTATCTACAAATTTCATACATTACTTCTACCCAGTTAAATACAACTACAATAACATACACCTTAAATATAAATTTTATACAATATTGTTCAAATTTCATGTAATAATTATATATATATATATATATATATATATATATAATATATATATATATATATATATATATATATATTATATATATATATACAGCACAATACAAGTCTAATCTTCACCAAAACACCCTCAAAATTGAGATATAAACTCCAAATCATATTCCCAATTATTTGCAACAACACTCAATCCAAACAAATAATGGTTTTTGAAACTCCAAATTCGAATTCAAAGCTTCAAAGCTTTTTAATGGATGTCAATGGTGGTATTGCTGCTCTCTTTTCCTTTGTTTTACATTACTGAAATTAGGGATTGAGAGAGAGAGAGAGAGACTTAGAGAGAATTCCCAATTCTTTTCAACTACACCCAATTCAAACAAATAATATTTTTTGAAAACTCAAATTTGAATTCAAAGCTTCAAAACTTTTTAATGGTTGTCAATGGTGGAATTGTTGCTCTCTTGCACAAGTTACGAGGGGAGGGGGTGGGATGTGGAGAGAGAAACGTGGGGGAGGGGGGGAGTGGAAGATATAGAGTGATTTTAGGACACTAATTATTATTATTAATTCCCTTAAAATGTACATAAATGATAATTTGGTATATAAAATATAATTATAGTAAAACTTGAGTAGGGAGGGTAATATAGTTTTATATTATGTATAGGATGTAAAAATCTCATACATAATTACCCCATTGGGGTTGTACCAAAGTGTCAGTTGCACCCCTTAAAAAATATGGGTGTCCTATGACCCCCAGTATAAACTTTTAGTGAATTAAAATACACCTTCGTGGCCCAGCTGGCATAGAAAGTGAGCTCAGGAGGGACGTGGGAGGCAAAAAATATAAGTTAAGATTGACTACTGTGTACACTTGTCATTTCTTAAATGGATATAATTAATTATGGTTTTTCCTTCCCTTCTTTTTCGATTTACATTTCTAAAACTCAGCCATGGCTGCCACCCATCCCTTCATGCTATCTCTTTCCCTTTCTTTCATTTTGACTTATAATATTTTGTTCTTATCTCCAACAACTCTAACAAAAATTTTCAAAAGTGCATGATAGATTGCACATGAAAAATCAGTAAGCGAAAACAGAAACCGACTAGGAAAAATTCCGACTAGGAGTTCGCCCGAAAAAATGGAGATCGGATGTTTGTTGAACAAAATGACAACTTTTCTTTTGTGGGAGAGAGAGAGAGAGCGAGCTTATTCAAGCCTCCCTCTTCATTCCTCGTTCACAAAATTCAAAAAAAAAATCCTAAAACCCTAGGTGTTTTCTTGTCAATTTTTCCCAAATTGTTGTCGATTTTTGGGGGATTCTGGCAAGGGACAAGCGATGAGTAGCAGGAGTGAAGAAGAGAGGAACGAGAAGATAATGGGTCTTTTGCAAGAGAGAAGAAGAGATGAACGAGAAGAACGAGAGGAACGAGAGAAGGAGTCAGCGTTATAGGGGGTGTTGTTGGAGAAGAAGTAAGTTGTGTTGAAGAAGAAGAAAACAAAAAAGAAAAAAAAAGTAAAGAAATGGAAAAACGATAAAATGAAAATTACAAATAACAAAGAAAAACCAGTATAAGAGAAGAAATTACGTGGCAAAATGTGATCGGTGCGTTCATTAATTATTTTGAAACTGGTACTAGTCACATAAGGAGAACCTTATTTCACTTCAAGCAATTATAGGGGGGGTCATAGGACACCCGTATTTTTAAGGGATGCAACTGACACTTTGGTACAACCTCAATAGGGTAATTATGTATTATCCCAAATTTAAATGTAAGAATATGAATTCTTATAGTATTGATTATTAAAATATTTTTTTAGTCGCTTTCAATATATGCAAAATATATATTTTCTGTATATATATCTATTATATACAAAAGAATATATACATTTTATCCACTTTCCGGCTAGCAACAACAACAACAACAACAGCCACCCAGTATAATCCCACAAGAAGGGTATGGGGATGGTAGGATGTACGCAGCCTTACCCCTACCCTGGAAGGGCAGAGAGACTGTTTCCGATAGACCCTCGGCTAAAAAAGGTGAGAGAAGCCCTGATAGCAAGTAATAGCAAGACAAATAATTAGAAAACTAAATCGAAGATAGTAGCAGAGAATATGAAAGGGGTACTGATAACAAGTAATAGCAAGATAACATATTTAGAAAACTAATTCAAAGGCAGCAAACGAGAATATGAACAAAGTACTGCTAGCAAACTACGGAATTACTAATGGCAAGTAACAACGGAATGAGACATGCGAATATAGCAAACTAGGGGAAAATGGGACCGTACTAGCGCTAATACTATCGAGCTAGAGAAGACAAAGAGAAACGCACGACTACCTACTAACCTTCTACCCTAATCTTCAACCTCCACGCCCTTCTATCTAGGATCACGTTGTCACGCCCCGAACTTGGGCCTAGACGTAACACGGCACTCGATGCCTGACTATATGTGACCGAGCGAACCAACTGACTGGCTGAATCAACATGTGATATCATAACATACTGAATGCGGAAAATAAACTAATATAAGTCTGAAACATATATGTAGCAATATTGTTTAACCTTAGATGCTTGTTACTTTGTCTAATTGTTACTCTAGTATATGAAGCCTCCAATGAAGCACTGAAAACACTGACTGTCTGAAAAGCTGAAGACTGTAAGGTAATGATAGTGCCCCGAAAAAACTTGGGATCACAAAATAGCTGGTACGAGTATCCTAGCGCTCTAAATCGTCAACCTATAAGTCATTACCTACATCGTGAGATGCAGGCCGAGGGCAAAAAGGGACGTCAGTACATTTGAATTGCACTGGTATGTAAAGCAACTGAAAGAAAGAATTATAAATACTGAAACTGAAACTAAGTTGATGACTGAGAATTGATAATTGATAACTACAATGATAACTATTGTTGATACCCAATTTATATATATATANTGCTGTCGAGAATGACAAGTAGTGGAGTAACAAGATAGAAAGTATATTAGCATGGTCTGGATATGAACCCGACAAAGGATTGGGAAAGAACCTCCAAGGTATCACCAAACCGATACATCTGAAAAATCATGGTACTACCTTTGGGCTCGGATACCAGTACACATGGCAAGAATACAGGAATTGGTCGCCTCTATGGCATGGACCATATTACCTACTTGAGCAGCCAGTGCCACGTCTGGAACAAGCTTTTCACCAAGCTGACACAATATGGGGGCCCGCGGAAGAAGAAGCGCTAGCAGGGTTGAAGAATTTGTTCTTGGAAGATGAGGACATGGATTGCAGTGCCATCATTGAGGAGGAGGAGGAAGAAGGCCTCACTATTCAGACTATAGAGAAGGGAGCCGTTCTCAGGAACTGGACCGTCATACCATCCCGAGCCCGCCGAGTCCCTGGGTAGCTTGGCAGAATTTACTTCTATAAGCCATTCTAGCCTGGATGACCAAGTTTTATTCAAATGAATTTGCTCTTTATTATTCACTACTATCTTTACATTTTTATTTTCTACAGCATTATTATTACTTTTCCTGATGAACCTGTAACTGTGACATGTAATGAGGCAACGCAACATGAGAATAATGATTCAGAGGAAGAGGATGAGATACTTGAGGAAATTGTCAGGGAGGTTGAAAATTTTGAGAATAAGCCTAAGTCCAATCTGGACGAGACCGAAGCAGTAAATTTGGGAGACGCTGAGACCGTCAAAGAGACCCGCATCAGCATTCACTTGTCACCAACAGAGAAAGAAGAGTACGTCCGGTTCCTAAGAGAGTATGAGGACATTTTCGCATGGTCATATGATGACATGACTGGTTTGAGCACGTCCATAGTGGCCCACAAGTTGCCCACTAATCCCATGTGTCCGCCAGTCAAACAGAAACTCAAAAAGTTCAAACCAGACATGAGCCTGAAAATCAAGGAGGAAGTTACCAAGCAGATCAAAGCCAAAGTTCTCAGGGTAGTTGAGTACCCAACCTG